AAATGCATAGACATACAATGCATCTTCCAACCCTTGAAATCCTTAACCCATTGTTAGGACAGGCAGTGTGCCAGCTAGTTTGCAGCTAGTAATTGAGATCTGCCAGCACAGTATATACATGGTTACTTATTAAACGTTACTCCTCTGCTCCCTCCTTAAAGTGGTTGTTAACCTCAGACATGAAATGTGAAAAAAAGCTTATCCCTCTATAGTAGGGGTCTCCTAACTTTGGACACAAAGGACCAATTTACTGTCCTTCAGACTTTAGGAGTGCTGGACTGTGGCCAGTTGGCGTAGAAAAAGTCCCAATGTCAGTGAAAAATATAATGCCGTATTGTTTGGTGTCAGTCAGAGGAATTGTGCTTCATCATTTGATGCCACTGGACCCCATTATTGGTGTAATTGGGAGGAATTGTGCCCCATCGCTGGTGTCATTGGAAGGCCTTCATTGATGTAAATGGGGGGGGGGATTATGCCCAACTGTTGGTATCAGTGGATGAAATAGTGCCCCAAGGGTGGGATAAAGGCAAGCAAAAGGCTGCATCTGGCCCCCGGGCCACAGTTTGGAGACCGCTTCTCTATAGTGTGTACTTGTCTCAACCCAGAGCAATAAATGTCATTTCTGTCTGCTGCCTATCTGCCTGAGTCACTTCTGACAAGTTTCCCTGACACCAAGAGGCAGAAAGGTGACAAACCAGTGAGCTCCAGCCTACAACCTGTGATTGACCGCCTCAGATCTTTTCCTGTGTGAAGAAGGGTGTGCCTTCCTTCCAATCAGCTCTCACTGAGCTCTGCAGAGAGCTCTCCACCCCCTTCTTTCTGAAAACTCATACAAGCAGTATAAATTCTGCACTTTGAACGGCTGTAGAGAAGAGAAAGCTGCAGATAAACAAGTACAACTTATTTAGGAGGATTTGTTTCATGTTTGTGTATCACCTGGGGCCAACCAATTTCTCGGGGTATGTGTAAGGGTTCACAACCACTTTAACATCACATAGAAGGGAAATTTAGGTAGAATTTTAAAGTACATAAAATAATTAAAAATGTAAGCAGCAAAGTGTGCTATGTGAATGGTAACGTAACAAATTTAAACTAGGTGTTCCAATTCAGCTGCACAAGTGGAAATACACTTTAGTTAAAGCCCAGCCTATAAAAAAAAGGATTACTGCATACCTCTCCAACCAATGATCTTTGATCTGTTGCAGAACTTTGGTGGCTGAAAAATCTTCGCCATCCGACACACTTCTGGGAGTGTCAAATGCTTGGTTCCTTGACATACATTGTAGTTCTGTCCACCAGCCTCTTCATCACAACTGTGTCCGTAGTGACCAGGGGCCAACGGATGGAACCACAAGCATTAGGTTGTGGGTGGGATCTTCTCATTAACTTAAAAGTGCTGGAAAAAAAGAATACAAATATTTAGATTCCTTTCTCTGCATGCATTAGGTTGAGAAGACATACCTGCTTGGGAAAGAGTTGGGGGGAGGGGGGTCCATAGGCCAGCTTCACCCATTCCAGGCAGCATTGACCTGCTTACCCCATCACTGCCTTTTCCAGGACTACCTGAAGTAGTTAGGTGACCTGTAACCTAGGCATGGAGAGAGCACCAGTATCTGGAATAATAGGAAATTCCTGCCCAGAGGCAGAATGTAGCTCCACTTTGATGGAAAATTCCTAAATATGTTTTAGGTAGGACTACACATGTCCTATGCAATATTTATTTATTACTTATTTCAGGTACTTGTATAACGCCATCAATTTACGTAGCGCTTTTCATATATATTGTACATTCACATCAGTCCCTAACCCTCAAGGGGCATACAATCTAAGGTCCCTAACTCACATTCATACATACACATACTAGGGCCAATTTAGACAGGATCCAATTCACCTACCAGCATGTCTTTGGAGTGTGGGAGGAAACCAGAGTACCCGGAGGAAACCCACGCAGGCACGGGGAGAACATGCAAATTCCAGGCAGGTGGTGTCATGGCTGGGATTCGAACCAACGACCCTAGTACTGGCAGGCGGAAGTGCTAACCATTTAGCCACTGTGCTGCCCAATACTTTGTTTTGCCCAGAGTTCAGTTTTAATTTAAAGCCCATGTCTTCGGCCATGTAATTTTTGATAATCCAGGTAATATATGGAAAAATTGTATGAATGATCCATGTCAAAACTACTTACCATCCCAAATAGAATAGTGGATGTCATTTTAAGGAAAGATGGTAGCTCTATTGTAATAGGAGGATGGAATAAAACAAAAGGGTTTAAACAAACCTGTAAGAATAGAAAGAAGGGTGCCGCCTATGCTGACTTGATTTTAAAGGTGGAAGTCTAGCATAAGCTTGGCTTCATTACTTGAATGGTCACTGACCTTGAGCAGGTATGCAGGAGGGACATTCAGTTTTTATTCTTTCATCTTTTTCTTCTTTCAGTGGTGGAGCCTTGTTAACCTCCCAGTTAAACCTAAGAGTACACACAGCCTATATCTGAAACTACCTTTGCCAGGAACAGGAAAGCAGCTATGTGCAGTTAGTGCTCACAAAATGATTCCCTAGAGCAGACTTTGTGCTGGTACATAGCAATCTTCATTTCCCATAGAGTCAAACAGGTTCCCCTGCGCTGCCCACAGTGGATGGATAACTCAAACATCTAAATGTGGCAGCTTGACATCCATGTGCATGAAACTTTGCAAATTAAAATTGTAGTCTTTGCCATGTAGGTATAAGCTGGAACATTCAGTTTAAGAGACTGGAGAGAACTAGCATGATGGGCAAAGTACGGTATTAAGTGAAGCGTGGCTGTTGTTGATGGCTTCACTTTGCACATCCATGCTCTTGGCACTGTGTACAAACAGTCTTATGCACCTTGTCGACTGCAGACAGTTAGGTGGAGCCCCAGAGCAATGAGCAGAATTTCATCATGTTGCATTGGACACAATGAATGGGTGGTGGTTGTTGATGGCTTCACTTTGCACATCCATGCTCTTGGCACTGTGTACAAACGTTCTTGCGCACCTCCAAGACTGAGACAGGTGGAGCCCCATAGCAATGAGCAGAATTTCATCATGTTGCATAGGACACAATGAATGGGAGGTTGTTGTTGATGGCTTTACTTTGCGCATCCATGCTCTTTGCACTGTGTACAAACAATCTCGAAGACTGCAGACAGTTAGGTGGAGCCCCATAGCAATGAGCAGAACTTCATCATGTTGCAGTGGACACAATGAATAGGTCTTAAGCTTGTACACGCAGCGATGATGCTAGAGACACATGGGCCTGAGTGTAAATTATGGGATGCGGGCTTACCAGCTGGGTCTTTCCTTTTGCTGGGCATTGTATAAAAAAAAAAATACTCTCAACGCAGAGCATGCTGATTGGAGCAAGGTGGCAGGTGCATCTTCCACAGCAGTGCATTTTAATGCTTCTCCTTGATTCTCTATACTTAAGACCCCTTTCACACAGGATGGACTCCACCTACCATCTGCTTGCTCAGCAGGGGATCTGTCTGATGATCCCGCTGAACAGGTGGGTGACAGGTCCATGTCTGCTCCACTTATGCACAGTGGACACGGACACAGCCCGCTGTTCTCTGTGGGCGGTGGGATGTAAACAGACTGTCCGTTTACACCTAATAGCCATCTGATCTGGCCAGACTGAGGGGAAGGGATCCCCATTCATTTGTTTTTAGTGGAGCAGAATGGTTGTAGGTGGGTGTAAACAGACACATGTCTTTACACCCACAGCTCCATAGAGGAGAATGGAGGTTCCGATTGGGCCTGCCTGAACTGCACCCTACACCAGCAGTTTTGTTGTTTGTCTCTGCAGTGGAAGATGAGATGAGGTCCTGTTCACTCAAGCAGAACCATGCACTCCGCATTACAGCATATGTCAAGCCAAAGCATGAAAATATAGTGCTGACAGTGTACACAATGCTTCTCATATTGTACATTCACATCATTCTCTGTACACAAGAAGCTTACAGTCTAAGGTCCCTATCTCACATGCATGCACACACTGGGGTCAGTTTAGACAGGAGCCAATTAGCCTACTGGCATGTCTTTGAAGCTCATGAAGAATTCAGAGTACACAAAGGAAACCCACGCAAAGAGAACATGCAAACTCCACGCAAGTAGTGTCCTGGTTGGGATTCACACCAAGGACACTAGTGTTGAGAGGCAGAAGCACTAAGCACTGTGCTGCACATGCACTTTCTCTGTGTTTTAAGCCTTTGAATACACTACAAGTACAGGAAAAAAGAACTGTAGATGTGCCAGAAATAGTGTGCTCCCACCCTTTGCTCTTTCACATGACGGCACAGTGGTGTGTTTTTGTTCCGAATTCCAAAGCATGTGTCATTTGTCCTACCTGGCTCATTTCATTTTCCAAGGGAAGTTGTACTTTGCAAGCAAAATTTCCCAGAGGCAAAGATCTGTTGGCTTCTATCATCCAATCCTGTAAAAAGCAAAATGCTTTTTTTTTCTTGCACATAATTGGGTATTCTTTGCAAAGTGAGATTTCACTTCATTCAGTAAGCTCTGGGGCAAATTCCCTTGCAAAATGCAACTTACCTTGCAAAGTGAACAGCATATTTTCCTTTAGTAAATAAACAAGATGTACTGAAGGGTATATTTAGCAGACCAAAAGAGGAGCAAAAAAGAGAAGTTTATTGTTAGGGTTTACATACACTTCAGATGTAAATTATTAGGGCCATTAGAGGGGGCCATACCACTATGGAGTCATGACTGTGGCTGATGTGACCCCAGTGTCTGTCACTGTATAACAAAAGAAAATCTGTTCCACATTTTAAATCATTTTACTGCCCAGTGTTGCAAGATTGGATGTATCTGTTACAGTTTAAATATAAAAAAGATGTTTATTTTAATGTATACTTTGACTATTTTTATTTTTCTGCAGGCTATGGATTTGTGGATTTTGATAGCCCTGGAGCTGCTCAAAAAGCAGTAGCTGCTCTGAAAGCCAGTGGGGTGCAAGCCCAAATGGCAAAGGTATGCCGCAAATTATTTATCAGAATTCTATGTACAAAGAAAAGTTCAGACCTCAGCTTGAATTCATAGCATGGTACAGAGCCTGGGAGGACAATAGGATACAAGATAACTTTCCTGTAGTGGAGGGGTCTTCAAACTTTATAAACAACGTTCCAGTTTACTGCCCTTCAGACTTTAGGAGGGCAGGACATTGGGAATAGAAATTTGTTCTGACGTCAGTGGGAGTAAACAGTGCATTTTTAGTATTAGGGGGAGAAATGGTGCACCGTTGTTTGTGTCAGTGGGAGGAATAGTGCCCCATCATTGGTGTCAGTGAGAAGAATAGTGTCCCATTGGTGGTGTCGGTGAAATGGGAGCAATAGTGCCCCATGGTTTGTGTCAGTGGGAGAAATATTGCCCTGTTGTTGATGTCAGTAACAGAAATTATTCCCCATTGTTGGTGTCAGTGGGAGTATTATTGTCTTGCATCAGTGGGAGGAAACGTGCCACAAGGGCTGTTTTGGAGGCATGCGAAGGGCCACATTCAACCCCAGGGCTGCAGTTTGGAGACCACTTCTGTAGTGTGATCATTATATCAGAACAGATTAATCCAATGGTCTTTAAGGACTATTAACGATTGTCTGAGTATTTATTCAACCTTTTCATTCATATAGCACCAGCTTATTATACATGAAGGTGGTTCTCTCGTTCTGATAGGACGTCATATGACGTCCTACCATTCTCACTGCGCATGCGCGGCTCAGGGAGCGTGCAGCACGGCTATTGCCGGTGCGCTGTGTCCCACGGACACAGCGGATCACGGAAAGAGCCGAAGATGTCGGCTCGGTCATGTGATCAGCTGTGTCCAATCACAGCTGATCACATGTAAACACGGAAATGCCGGTTATCTGCATTCCTCTCCTCTTGAGCTGTCAGCGTGACAGCTCGAGAGGAGAAGAGAGCCGGTAATCGGCTTTCCGTGGAGAGGACATGTACACTGATCATCAGGGCATTAATGATCAGTGTGCCCTGATGATCAGTGTGGCCCCAGAAGTGCCACGTGCCAGTGCCCATCAGTGCCACATCAATGCCACATATCAGTGCATACCAGTGCACATCAATGCCACATGTCAGCTGCCATCTGAGCTGCCTTTCAATGTCACCCATCAGTGCCAGTCAGTGTCGCCTATCAGTGCCAGTCAGTGTTGCCTCGCAGTGCCATATATCAGTGTCATGCATCAGTTCTGCCTTTCAGTGCCATCAGTGATGCCTGTCAATGCCCGTCAGTGCAACCTACCAGTGCCACCTATCAGTATCCATTAGTGCAGCCTATCAGTGCCCATCGCTGCAGCCTCATTAGCGCACATCAGTGAAGGAGAAAAATCACTTATTTACAAAACTGTATAACAAAAACTAAGAAAAAATGTTTTTTTTTTTTCAGTGGTTTTTGGTTTGTTTAAGAAAAAATAAAAATCCCAGAGGTGATTAAATACCACCAAAATAAAGCTCTATCTGTCACAAAAAAAATGGTAAAGATTTCACATGGGTACAGTGTTTGACCCACGCAATTGTCATTCAAAGTGCAACAGCGCTGATAGGTGGCACTAATAGGTGGCACTGACTGGCACTGATGGGTGACACTGAAAGGCAGCTCAGATGGGCACTGATATGTGGCATTGATGTGCACTGGTAGGCACTGATATGTGGCACTGATGGGCACTGGCACGAGGCACTGATGAGCACTGAGGCACTGATGGGGCCACACTGATCATCAGTGCCCTGATGATCCGTGTACATGTCCCCTCCGCGGAAAGCCGATTACCGGCTCTCCTCTCCTCTCGAGCTGTCAGCGTGACAGCTCGAGAGGAGAGAAATGCCGATAACTGGCATTTCCCTGTTTACATGTGATCAGCTGTGATTGGACACAGCTGATCACATGACCGAGCCGACATCTTCGGCTCTTTCCATGATCGGTGATCCGCTGTGTCCGAGGGGCACTGCGCGCTCCCGGAGCCGCGCATGCGCAGTGGGAATGGGAGGACGTCATATGACATCCTCCCAGAACGAGAACCACCTTGCGCCCGTCATATTACTATATGGCGGGCGGGAGGTGGTTAATGAATGTATTGAAAAATTTAATATTTTTAAACCCTATAGAGATATAGTGTATACAATAGGAATTAAACTATAGGCACACTATTTGTCAATATAGTACTGAATCAGAGTCCCTGCTGGGGTCCAGCTTCTTGTTTAGAGCAGTCACTATTTTTTGGCTTACAAATGTCACATAATAAGGTTTTTAAGGTGTTTAATGGTGTTTAATGGTTTATGATTTGCCTTGTGTTGGATATACAGCAACAGGAACAAGACCCGACCAACCTGTACATCTCCAACTTGCCGGTCAGCATGGATGAGCAGGAGCTGGAGTCACTGCTGAAACCTTTTGGACAGGTCATATCCACTCGTATCCTGCGTGATGCTAGCGGGACCAGTCGAGGTGTTGGTTTTGCAAGGTGAGAGTGACTTTATGGCCTTTACAAGTAGCAGAACTACTATGTAATGAATTTTCTCCATGCCTTGAGACAACCTAATTATTATATGAAGAGGTCTTCACACCATAAAAGTTTCCTTCAGTTGCAAATTATTAATATTATTATTATTACACAGGATTTATATAGCGCCAACAGTTTGCTAAGCGCTTTACAATATGGTGGGAGACAGTACAGTAACAATACAATTCAATACAAGAGGGATTCGAGGGCCCTGCTCCTTGGAGCTTACTATCTAGGAGGGAGGGGATAGTGGTACAAAAGGTAATAACTGTGGGGGATGGAGTGGTTGGGAGAGTAGAGGATTCCACTGTTAGCTGAGGACAGGGTAGGCTTCCCTAAAGAGGTAGGTTTTCAGAGTGCGCCTAAAAGTGAGCAGAGTAGGCGATACTCTGATAGATTGGGGTAGGGAGTTCCAGAGGATGGGGGAAGCCCTGGAGAAGTCCTGGAGACGAGCATGGGAGGAGAAGACAAGGGAGCTAGAGAGTAGGAGGTCTTGTGAGGAGCGGACAGTACGGTTTGGGTGATATTTGGAGACAAGATTGGTGATGTAATTTGGGGCAGAGTTATAAATGGCTTTATATGTTATTAATGTTTTGAATTTTATCCATTGGGCAATGGGAAACCAGTGGAGGGATTGGCAGAGAGGGGTGGCAGGTACAGAACGGTTAGTAAGGTGGATGAGTCTGGTAGCAGCATTCATGATAGACTGAAGAGGGGATAGCCTGCGATGAGGTAGGTCAATGAGGAGGGAGTTACAATAGTCAAGGCAAATAAATGTATAGCATATTTGTGTGGAATACAAAATCTGCAGTATCAGAATTTCTGAGCAAATCTAGGATTAGAACTCCCAAGCTTGTTAAAACAGGAGTGTGCAGTAATGGAGACCATGGCATGTCACAATAAAGTAGAACAGCTAATCAGTAATAGATTGTAAGCTGTTATTGAATAACTAATGAACTTAGAAACGTCTGAGTGAAATCAATTTGTAATACGGTTTCTGTGATGCTAATATGTAATGTAGATGTGTCTCACTTAACTCCTATTTCTTTGAGGGCTTATTCATTAGCTGCTTGAAGCAGGCAATGATATGTCATGAAACCTGGCAGGGCAACCAATCACTAGCAGCGCAATAGCTTGGCGGCTATGGGTCCTGTGATTGAAACCCACCACGAGTGCTATCTGCATGGAGTTCGTATTCTCTGTATTTACATGTTTCTCCAGGACCTCTAACTTCTTTCCACCAAACAAAATCATACTGATGGGTTAAAGTATAACCAAACACAAGAACAAAAATTTAGTATATACCAAGCTTACCATTTAGATGTGATGACTGCATTTGTTTCATTTTGCTTTTATAAACCACCAGTCCCTCGCCTCCCACGTTAAGAAGGTTAACAAATGCAGAGATATTTAAAGTCCAGCCTGGATGGTGACAGTTGCTGCATCCATAGATACATTGGAGGAGTGAGGGGAGCCACCCAGGAGCAGAAAATGTTATTTGCATTATTACCAGGTGAAAATACAGGAAAAAAGTCTGAAAAAAGGAAAACTATTACAGCTACACTAATAAGGAGTGATAAACTGGAAAATATTAAAGTGGAAGCTCAGTTAAAATCTAACTAAGGCTAAACCTACTCCCACTCCTATTCTAAGACTATTCTATCTACCCTGTAAAAGAAAAGATGCTTATTCTCCTAGATTGTAAGCTCCAAGTAGCAGGGCCCTCCTAACCCTCTTGTATTGAACTGTATTGTTGCTGTATTGTCTCCCGGTATATTGTAAAGTGCTGAGCAAACTGTTGCCACTATATAAATCCTGTATATAATAATAATACTTACCTGTTCTAAAGCTTCTCCAGTCTGCTCACATGATCAGGTCCCAGCTCTGGCTTTAGTGTAGAGGAGGGGTAGCCGACAACAGATGCTCCTTAGTAAGCCTATGGGTGACGTCACTGCAAAGGCATTTGCAGCCGCCGTCGGCAATCACTTCAGTGAAGCCGCCACTGGAAAGATCTTGTGGCTGGACTAGAGCAGCTGGTGTCCCGAAGCCTAATGAAGAATGGGCTCAGGTGAGGACGGTGTTGTATCACTGGACAGGCAAATGTCCTTTTATAAAAAGTCAGAATGATTGGGGGGGGGGGGGTGAAGTTCTGTAGTCCAGCAAGCACGGCTGGTTGAGATTTTCAGAGTGAAAAAGGCACTGCTGTATCCCAAACAGGAGGTAAGGAGGACACTGGATGTCTGGCAGATCAGCAGTTTTTTTTTTAAATGCAATTCTTAAAGCCATAAAGCATCAGGAGGGGAAATTTACACCTATTCCAGAGATATTTTTTTTTTTTTTTTTTTGACCCTGATGTACTCAAGTTTTTTTTTGTTTTTTTTTTTGTTCAAATTCTCTGGAAAATGTGGCTGATTTCAGTGTTTGGAAGTTCAGGAATAGCCCATGAAAGATGGCAATATATGGCCAAACATTAGAGTTATAGTAGAAAGTAGATCAAAGATTCTAGAAATGGTGAGGTTTTTCATTGTGCCAATCCACTATATACTGTACATTTAAGGTAAGGCATCATGTGAAATGATTTCAGGTACTTGGTTGTGTTGGATAAAACAATAGGGAGAGAGGAGGGCTTTACAGAAAGGCACTACATGACAAAATCTAAACTGTACTTGTAATGAAATGGTAAGGAAATACAGTAAGACAAATGTATCATCCTATTTCAGTTCTGACCCTTGTTGACACTGAATTATTAAAAGCAGTTTTCAGCTGTGGAAGGGAGTAAAGCAGAATAAAATGTACTTTCTTCTTCAACAGAATGGAATCTACAGAGAAATGTGAAGCTGTGATTTCTCATTTCAATGGTAAATACATGAAAACGCCCCCTGGTGTCCCAGGTAAGCAAAACATCTGCTCCATTTCAGCAGTTCTAATTTTATAAATTCTGTTTTTACTTGCAGCTAAAACACTTTGTGTTACAACCAAAAAGCAGAGGAGTTTGAGTAGGAATGATAGTTTGCACAGTTAGCGGTACTCAAAGCTGAACTCCAGGTATGATCTCTATATTATGTAATATGCAAATTTACATTGGTCTAAGCTGGACCAATGTAGGTATGCAGTAAGAGTGTAAGAGTCCTGGTGTTCAGCTTTAATGTGTATGTTACATAGTTGGTCTGGCTGAAAAAAGACAAAAGTCCATCCAGTTCGAGCAAAAAAAAAAAAAAAAAGTTATAATCCTATATCCACCATTGATCCAGAGGAAGGCAAAAAAACCCAGCAAAGCATGATTGAATTTGCTCCTGCAGGGGAAAAAATTCCATCTTGATTCCCCGAGAGGCAATTGGAGATTCCCTTGATCAAGTGTACCTATAAATGTTAGTATCCAGTTATATTCTGTGTATCTAGGAAACAGTCCAGGCCTTTTTTTAAAGCAATCCACTGAGCTGGCCAGAACGAACTCTTGAGGGAGTCTATTCCACATTTTCACAGCTCTCACTGTGAAAAAATCTTTCCATGTTGGAGATTAAATTTTTTTTTTTCCTCCAGATGTAAAGAGTGCCCCCTTGTCCTCTGTGATGACCTCAGGGTGAATAATTCTACACTGAGTTCACTATATGAACCTCTGATGTATTATACATGTTGATCATATCCCCCCTTAATCTCCTCTTCTCAAGAGAGAATAAATTCATTTCCTCTTTCTCATAGCTGAGCTCCTCCATGCCTCTTATCAGTTTGGTTGCTCTTCTCTGTACTTTCTCCAGTTCCCCAATGTTCTTTTTGAGAATTGGTGCCCCAAAACTGAACTGCATATTCCAGATGAGGTCTTACTAATGATTTGTACAGGGGTAAAATGATATCTCTTGCTCTGCAGTCTATACCTCTTTTAATACAAGAGAGGATTAGAAACCGTAGCTTGGCATTGCATGCCATTATTAAGCTTGTGATCTGCCAGAACTCCCAGATCCTTCTCCACCATTGATTCCCCCAATTCTACTCCCCCTAGTATGTATGATACATGCATATTCTTAGCCCCCAGGTGCAGAACCTTTCATTTATCAACATTAAACCTCATTTGCCACATAGTTGCCCAGTCTTTGGTAACTCAATCTTTTTTTTTTTTTTTTAAACAGTAGGTAAGGGTTAAAACCCCTGCCAGGGTTGTTTTTTTTTTTCCACTTGACTGTGCCATTGTGAAAATGTTCCATCGCTTATTGTCCTGGAGACTCAACCGGAAGTTGAGGACATCAATAGGATATCTGGATAGGTTAAATATCACTATAACAAAAAAATATAAAAAATAAAGTATTATATTATGTGTCACATGATTGGTATGGTTGGGAGTAGGAAGTAGTATTCATTACCAGTAGTTTGAAGCTAGTACACCCAACAGGAAGTGAGTCACTAAGCTAGGAGGTGCGTTCGTATGGCAAATAATTACATTACTATAAGAAAGTATTTACCTGAATGAAATAGAATCATTCAGGGCTTTTTTTTTTTTTTTTTTTTTTTTTTTTGTGCTTAGCTGTGATTTGGCCACAGCTAATCACATGACACAGCTGGGCTGTGATTGACCCAGTTTGTGCATGTGATCGCTGTGACCATTCACAGCTAGCCACACTTGTATACAATGGATGGCATGAAAGGAAGCCATCTATTGTATACAACTGTCATGAGACCTGCTGTGATTGGTCACAGCAGGTCACATGGTACTGGCAACGGGGGCCGGTACACAGATCTGTCATCGGCCGTGTCCAAGGTACACGGCTGGTGACAGATCGCGCCACTGCGCGGCTCTGCAGGCAGGCAAACTGGGAAAGGATGCCATATTGCGTCCACCTGGAGGGACGAGGTGCTCGCCCAGCTGCCATCTGGCCATAGGCCGGGCGGGGAACCGGTTAAGGAGCGGGATATATAATATAAATTTTTGGACTTTCCTTTCTTTGACACCGATTTCTTTTATTGGAGCATTTAATCACGGATTATTTAAGATTGTGGACTTCATTTCATTTTTTTGTGCTGTTATTCATTATTTTGTGTTATGGTGTTTTTTTGCACTTTGAACAGCAGCACTGATTGTTATTGGATTTCTATATATTTTTTTCCACATATTGTTTTTACACATAGAAGTGCAGGTGATTTATTGTATGTGACAAAATATACATTAGCTGCATCCTATTGCTGTGGGTAGGTAACTAAACTTCATACCATAATCTTCTTTCTTCAGCACCACAAGAACCCCTTCTTTGTAAGTTTGCAGATGGAGGACAAAAAAAAAGACAAACCCAGGGGAAATACATTCAAAATGGACGTGGCTGGCCACGAGAGGGAGAGACGGTAATACAATACAACATTTTATAATTCCCTATTTTCTTCATCTTTTAATCTTTTCCTGCAATTTGTCATTGTACATGTTCTATATGTATTCCTATTACATCAGTTACTATTTGTTTCTTAGGGTGGAATGACGCTGACATATGATCCCACAACTGCTCTGCAGAATGGGTAAGATTCTTGGATTTTTTTGGTTGCCATTCATTTTTCTTTTTTATGAGCCAGTTTTTTCATGAAGGGAGCTGCATATTTAAGTTGGGGTTTGTGGAAATTACTTGTAACAAAGAATCTGCAGATTTGTAGTATACATGATTAGAAAAAGACGTCTTTTGCAGAAAGCACTAGGCAGCTCTAAATGGGAGAGTCTGTAGGCTCAATTCAGTAAATATCTTATATCAACCATCATTATTTACCCTAATCATAGTTAACACCAATGAGAGCTAAAAATATTAGTCATGTGGATTATAACAAGTATTGTAATGGCAAATACACATGCATTGTAGCTAAGTTAAGTATTGTGTGCAAATCTCAACAAAATAATAGCATTTTGCCTCAGTTTCTAAAATTTCTGGAAAATTGTGATAATGGATATTGTGATAAAAATGCACAGTTTGGGAGAAAATTGTACAAATAGGTTAAATTAAAATATATTCTTCTCCTTGTTTCTGCTACTGAAACTACCAGCTGTTGCCCTGTTTAGGGTAGCATACATTAGAAGTGAATTGTTTGGTGAAGAATGGGCAGAAGGTCAACTTGCAAAGTCTACTACAAAAAGATTTTTTATGTTTTACCCATAGCAGAAATACAGTGAACGTTCGTTAGGGGAAACTGGACATACACCGTGTTCCAAATTATTATGCAAATTATATTTTTCTCATTTACCTAAATTATGTAAATAACAGTCAGCATAATTCTCATGTTATCAACTATTAAGAGTACAATTCACATTTTATTGAACAAACCTCCTAATGATAACAGGATTTTTTTTAAACATAAAACACTTACAATGCACTGTTCCAAATTATTACACACAGTAAGTTTCAAAACACTTTATAGGTTGTAAAGAACTGAAAATTGTCATTTGTTGTGTTTGCAGCATATTTACTGAAATCAAAAGCTATTTCAATCAAACATTTTAACTTTTTAAACATTTTAACAGGTCACGTTACATTTTAACATAGGACCCCTTATTTGATAGCAGCTTCACAAGTCTTGCATCCATTGAACTTGTGAGTTTTTGGACAGTTTCTGCTTGAATTTGTTTGCAAGATGTCAGAATAGCCTCCGAGAGCTGCTGTTTGGATGTAAACTTCCTCCCACCCTCATAGATCTTTTGCTTGAGGATGCTCCAAAGGTTCTCAATAGGATTGAGGTCAGGGGAGGATGGAGGCCACACCATGACTTTCTCTCCTTTTATCCCCATAGCAGCCATTGATGCAGAGGTATTCTTTGCAGCATGAGATGGTGCATTGTCATGCATGAAGATGATTTTATTACGGAAAGCATAGTTCTTCCTTCTGTACCAGGGAAGAAAGTGGTCAGTCATAAACTCCACGTACTTTGCAGAGGTCATCTTTACACCTTCGGGGGCTCTAAAGGGGCGACCCGCTCTGTTCCCATGATTCCGGCCCAAAACATGACTCAACCACCACCTTGCTGACGTCGCAGCCTTGTTGGAACAGGGTGGCCGTCCACCAACCATCCACTACTCTATCCATCTGGACCATCCAGGGTTGCACGGCACTCATCAGTGAGCAGGACTGTTTGAAAATTAGTCTTCATGTATTTTTCTGCCCAATGCAGCCGTTTCTGCTTGTGAGCATTGGTTAGTGGTGGCCGAATAGAAGGTTTATGCACAGTTGCAAGACTCTGGAGGACTCTACACCTTGATGTCCGTGGGACTCCAGAGGCACCAGCAGCTTCAAATATCTGTTTGCTGCTGTGTAATGGTATTGTAGCAGCTGCTGTCTTCATCCGATGCATGTATCTGGCAGAAATCTTCGTGCCTTTATCTGCACGAACCGATCTGTGCTCTGAATCAGCCACAAATCTCTTAATAGTGCGATGATCACGCATAAGTTTTCGTGAAATATCTAATGTTTTCACACCTCGTCCAAGGCATTGAACTATTTCACTCTTTTCGGCAGCAGAGAGATCCTTTTTCTTCCCCATATTGCTTGAAAATGGTGCTCTGCTTAATAATGTGGAACACCGTCCTTTAGTAGTTTTTCCGTAAATTGGGCTCACCGGCCAATCTAATTATTACAGGTGTCCGAGATTGTTTTCAGTGATCAAAAGAGCCCTGACACACAATGCCATCCATGAGTTAAACTGAAAAACAAAATATTTAATCTTTGTGACACTTAAATAGAATTTGCATAATAATTTGGAACGCGGTGTAAGCAAATCTTCTAAGTGATTGTAAAGCTTTAATTTCTTTTTTATTAAAATAATAAATGTCATACTTACCTGCTCTCTGCAATGGTTTTGCACAGAGCAGCCCCAATCCTCTCTGGGGTCCCCCCGCCGGCGCTCCTGGCCCCTCCTCTTCAGTGAGTACCACCATAGAAAGCCACCCGAGCAGCGCTGCCTTTGTCTGTAGATACAGACAGCGTGGCTCGGCCATCCCCCGCCCCCCGCTACTGCTGTCAATCACAGCCAGTGAGCCAATGAGAGAGCAGGGGGTGGGGCTGAGCCATGCTGTGTGTGTGGATGGACATGCAGAGCAGCGGCTCGGAAGCAAGCCTGCTTGGGTGCCTCCATAGCAAGCTGCTTGCTATGAGGGCAGTCGGCAGGAGGGTGGAGCCTGGTACGCCAGTGCCTGAGCAGAGGAGCATCGGGGCTGCTCTGTTCAAAACCACTGCACAGAGGAGGTAAGTATGAGATGTTTATTATTTACAAACAAAAATGCCTTTAATATCACTTTAAGCTATGTGGTTGTCAAATGGACTTTTTTTTCACGTCTTAAAGTAAAGTTTTGTTTTTTTTTGGGGGGGGGGATGGAAGCGATTCCTCTCCAGATAACAGATGTTTTGTAGATTGTGGAATATGGCATGCCAGTATATCTTCTGAAAAGCTTCAAAATCAATGAGAGGGTCTGCCTTTTACTATAACAACATGATCCGTGTTGTGATACAAAACATTGCACCTCCAGCCCCCATGCAAGGATCTTAGCAAAGAAACACATTCCCCACTGCAATAAATATAACAGAGTCTTATTTAGAGTGAACTATTTCTTTTCTGATGCAAGGCAAAGTAAAAAGTACACTTAGCCCCATGTAACCTTCTATAACAATTTTCAGAGCTCCTACAAGGCTATGGTCTCTGCCTTTGGCATTACATGTCCAATTAAGAGGCATCTCATGCTAGCAGATAGGAGAAAAGGAGTTACATTCCCACCCATACCTGGAAGTGCTGGGTTTTTGTTCCTGGTGTTCGAAAGAAGCGGCGAGGAAGAAAAGGAATATATTTAAGGAATAGGAAGGTATGTGCTGCTGCAGAGGGAGAGGTAAAGCTTTAATCGGTCCTGTAAAAGAAAGGGTTACTTTAAAGGAAACATATGCTAAAGAAATCGGCTACAATAGCTGACCTAGCTCTCCTGAACAAAGCTAGTTGTCTGATTTTTATGGTGATCCAACACCTTCAGTAGTTTGAGTGAATGACCTGGAACAAGTTTGTATTCATTCATGTATTTTGACTTCATGTGAAGAAGGAGGTCAACTGTGAAAGCCAACATATTTATCTCAGTACGAGTTATGGATTATGGATACAGGTACTGCATTCTGATATATGCATTTTGTTACCCTTGCTGCTAAACTGAATCCAGTCAACACTGAAACTACAGTTGCGAGTGGTATTCTCCTTTACTATCATTAAGGCACATAATTCTGCCATTTAATGAGTATAGAACAAAGCATTACTGTTTATTAAACTTCAATAACATTTGGGAAGGATTGTTAAGAGTTCTAAGCTTGTTTCGTTGAGTGGTTTAGGAGCAGGCAAATGGAAATACAACTATCTTGACACTGTTTAAGTTTAAACCTGCATTTTGATTTGTGAATTTTACAATTGCCATTGACAAAAAGTATTGTGTGTGTGTAACACAGATTTTCCTGTTTGATGTTTCTCAGGTTTTATACCACCCCATACAGTATTGCCCCAAATAGGGTGATCGCTCAGGCAGCCCTCTCCCCATACCTGCCATCACCTGTATCTTCTTATCAGGTAAGACGAATCCCAATATTACTTCTGGCAGGGCTTTTGTTGAAATTTCAGTTAGGACAGGATGTTTAATTGGATGATATAGCTTCTAGCTCAGTTTGCTTAGTTTGTAAAGCTGGCCATAGAATGAAAATTGACCGGTTCAGCAAGGATCAGCGGAATTTTGGTCTCTCTATGGCCGTTCCCATTTATGAGAAGTTGATCTAAAGATCAGCTTCTCATGAATGGGAATATTGGAAAATACACTGTGCAATGTATTCTGGCAGCAGAGGAGTCCCACTGTCAGAATACAATGACACAGTGGGGAGGATTCCCCACATTCACTTCGAATGTGTGGATGTGGGAGTCAGTTCCTTTTTTTTTTTTTCTTTTGTTCAGCCTACTGGCTTAACATAAAAAACTAAGCCATGTATGGGCAGCATAACAATTATGGTTTGCCATGATGTTCATTATTTTTAATACCAAGAACTTGGCACCTTGTAGCCAAGTGAATTGAACAATGCCACCATCAGGCCCACCCCGCAAGCCAGAGTACTTGGTGTCATTCTTGACAATCGCTAACAAACAAACAATGCAGACTCCACCTCCGCAACATCTCCAAAATACGCCCATTCCTAACCCCAGAAACTACTAAGCAACTTCCTCATCATATCACGACTCGATTACTGCAACTCCCTCCTCACTGGCCTGCCTCACCACAGGCTATCCCCGCTTCGGTCGATCCTGACTTATCCAGCTTACCAACCACTCCGTTTCCGCCACCCCCCTCTGCCAACCCCTCCACTGGCTTCCGATTGCCCAACGGATCAAATTCAAAATGCTAAAACTGATGTACTAGGCTGTCCATAACTCTGCCCCAAACTACATCACTGACCTAATATCCAAATACCACCCAAAACGCACTCTCCGCTTCTCACAAGACCTCCTTCTCTCTAGTTCCCTGGTCTCCTCCTCCCATGCCCGCCTCCAGAACTTCTCCAGGGCATCACCCATCCTCTGGAACTTCCTACCCCAATCCATCAGACTATCACCTACTCTCCTCTCCTTTAGGCGCACCCTGAACACCCACCTCTTCAGGGAAGCCTACCCCGCCCTCTAATTGCCGATCTCCTCCGCTCTTCCTACCACTCCATCCCCCACAGCTTTTCCTCCCGTACCACTATCCCCTCCCTCCTAGATTTTAAGCTCCAAGGAGCAGGGCTCTCGAACCCCTCGTGTATTGCATCGCATTGTATTGTTGTTGTACTGTCTCATATATTGTCTCCCATTGTAATGTACAGCGCTGAGCGAACTGTTGGCGCCATATAAATACTGTATTATAATAATATGCTGTCCATAAAAAAGGGATACATTTGGTTTAAGTATTGGCGTATGTAGTTGTCAACTGTTATGCAGTAATGAGCACTTTGTGGTGTTGGAAAAGCTTGTCTGTCAGCAATCATTCTCTTTTCTCCTCGGAAGGGGAGTGTTATGAACAGGGATTAACAGATCTCTTATCACTTGTTCTCAGGATATGTGCATTTATTGTGCTTGCCCTTAGGTTTAATGTATTGTTGTGTGTATATCTGTTCCACCATAAGTGATCTATATCTTTATGCTGTATTCGGTCATTTTTAGGTTCACAATCCCTCCTGGATGCATCATCAGTCTTACCTCATGCAGCCTGCAGTGAGTATTTGTTAATTGCATATCTAGAAATTTAACACTTTCTCTTGACTATCCAATTTTTCTCTGTTCTGAACTTTCCTCTGCACCCACTGCTCTGCCACTAGTGCCAGCTTCCTTTTATGCCCCTAACAATCTTTATAGCATTGTTAGTTTAGATGGTCACATACTGTACATTAAAGGGGTTTTCCAATTTAAACTGCAACTGAAGTTCCCCTGTTTTAATAAAACACAATTGTATCTCTACCGTCTGAAAGAGCAGGACCCTCCTGCTACTTGTAATAAGGCGGCTATTGAATTGAAGGTCTTGGTCTGGGAAAACAAACCCAGGAACGTGGGGGCACAGACCATTTGTTACAGTGAAATGAGTTTAATTTGCAAATGAAAACCCACCTTTTGGGCGATATCCCATATAGGCAAGGAAACCAAATTTACATAGGATGCTGTTGCATGCCAACCTTTCCATAGATATATGGCTATGCCAATAAAACATCAGCAATAAAGCAGAGCAAAAATATATTCATATTTATAGCTTGTTAATGTAAATGTATAGAGTGTAAATGAATGAAGGTTTCTCAACTGTGTTTGTCAAGGATACCTAGAATAATATGTTCTGTCCAATAGCATTGCTTGACAATGCACAGGTATTCCTGTGGACCACTACTCACATGTATCTTTAGCATACAAAATGTGCCCTAATTGAGGACCACAGCTGAGACACGCATATCTAGACCCTTTACTATCGTGGCATAGCTGGAAGGTGACATTGTGGTTGTGTGCACTGTGGCCTCTTGAACATTCACTCTTTGTTAGGGAACTGTCCTCACTCCCACTATGGACCATGCTATTTCCATTCAGCCTGCTTCCATGATGGGACCTCTGACTCAACAGCTGGGACACCTGTCACTGGGGAGCACGGGAGCGGTAAGATTTATTTTTTTTTTTTTCTATTTAAACAAATATGTTATTTATTCATGATGTTCTAAATAATGTTTAGTTGATTAGAGAAACAAGGATACTGAGATTGTATATGTAAGAAAATTTGTCACAACAACGTTTAATGGCATAGAGTGAACATATGTTTGCGGGACTTTATATTCCAATTATATAGTTTATTTAGCAAAACTAAGGTCTGTACATTTCTCTCTGCTCAAAAACCATAACATCTACTTGCTAGTGGAAACCTCAGTACTTTTGAGGCAAGAAGTCACCTGTAAAAGAAGCATTTACTGGATATATCTTTCCAGCAGTCCGTGTATAGCAAAATTGTGAACTCTCCCCTCTCCAGCCCTTTGCAAATATTTAACCATCAGATGATTTGAATACTTGCCACCAGCCACTGTGGTTTCTGCTTCCAGCTTGAGTGTCCTGTAGTGACATATGAGCCAGTGGAATGAACCACCACAGCCAGAGGGGGAGCAAGTATATTGCTCCAGCGGGGGAAAAAAATCCTTCCCGATCCCCAGGAAGCAATTTTGATTTTCCTTGTATCATCATTCTCTTGTGTTTATTACCTATAAATATTAATATCCAGTATAGTTTGTGCATTTAGGCATGCATCTAGCTCTTTTTTTTTTTTTTTTTTTTTTTTTTTTAAATCAATACACTGAGCTGGCCAGAACTAGTTCTTAAGGGAGTCTATTCCACATTTTCACAGCTCTTACTGTGAAGAGGCCTGTCCATATGTGGAGGTTAAATCTCTTTCTCTCCAGATGTAAAGAGTGTCCCTTGTCCTTAGTAATGACCTTCAAGTGTTACCCGCAGCAGTAAATCAGTCTGTATATGCAGTAAAGCATGCTTGTTATACTCACTGTGGAACCTAGGGGGTTTATCATCTGCATTGTGCAAAAACACTCCTGACTTCTCTGATCCTCCCCTTTTTCCAGTGCCCCCCTCTTATCTCCTGACTAGACATATCATGTGGAGACACTCTGCACATGCTCAGTTTGTGTATTGCTAGAGAGGTTTTTTTTTTTTTTTTTTTTTTTTCTTGGGGGAGTGCATATGATCAGCACAGGCCCAATCAGCACTGTCCAGACAGAGTTCAGGGGTCCTGCATCCGCCCAGAGCAGAATGCAAACTCCTCCTACAAGTTTTAACATGTGCTCTGCTGGACACTGATAGAAGTAACAAGACTGCTCTAACTGCTGATGAGAAAAGGTATTTAGCAGTTTATATTTACTAAAATAATTGCATTTCCATGTTGTGTGTACTGTGGGACACCAGATATAGTGAATGTAGGGTCCTGGGTTTAGTAACACTTTAATGTGAATAAATCTACACCATGTTCACTATATGGACCATTTATGTATTTATACTAGGGATCGGAGAAGTGGTGGCTTTTCAATACATGGGCCACCAGAAAAGTAAGTATATAAATGCTTCTTTTACAGGTGACCTTTTCTCTAAAAGTGACCTAATGGTTACAGGGTTAAAAAAAAAAAAATAAAAAAAAAAAAACTAAATGTAATATTTAAATCGCTTAAAGCAGTAGTAAAGTTCGCTTTCATTTCCTTTTTGAGGGGCCCCCAGGTGGGTTATGCCATAATGTGCTAGTTTTCACTGCATATTCGCACATTATGATAGACTTACTTGTCAAACTGAACCCTCCAGCACTGCGCTGTGAATGATTCAGCGGGTCCGGGCGCTTCCATCTTCGCCTGGTCTTCCTTTCGGGTTCCATGTCTTTGGCTGCTTGAGTGACCAGGCTGCGATGATTTTGCTCCCGCACACGGGAGTCACATCGCAGGGGCACAGATCAAGCCGTAAATGTTCACTGAGATGCGCATATGCGCCTCCGTGTACATGACCACTGACAGGCAGGAGGAAGCATTTATGACAGAAGAGCCCAATAGGGTCTGTTCTGTCATAAATACCCTGTCTGCCAGTAATTTTTTTTACAAAGAAAGTTTACTACCTCTTTAAGATGCTCTGTAATGATTTTCTATTTTTCTTGATCTTTCCATTAGTATATGCCAGCTGCAGCCGCTATGCAGGGGGCCTACATCCCCCAGTACCCGTCCGTGCCTTCTACTGTCTCTCTAGAGGTGAGAAGCTCTTCTGGATGAATGTAAAGGAATGGGGTTGGGGTGGGAGACAGAACAGTGTGAGTTAGCCTTTGTTATCCTGGTTTCCACAGCTCATTTGTGCACTTGTTTTCAGTTAATATTTTCATGTTATGAAATAAATTTCTATGTTTAGCCATGTAAAGAGCTGTTTAGAATTAGCAGGATTGATTTCCATATTTGGTGATCTGTTCACCATGGATATTGGAATGTCATTCCTGATACGTGCCTTGGTCTCTCATTTGCTACTATGATTAACTAGCACATCTACCTACCTGTGGCCTCAGCCCACGTCAGATCTGTTCAAAGTGCTAAAAAGATCTAAATACTTTTTTATTTCCATCATTCATAATTTCTATAGAAGTAGAATGCATATTTAATGGTTTCATTATAATTTTTGGATGGAAATGCTTTTCTCTCAGAATGTTGAGCAATGATGCAGGTTGTAACATTTGACAGATTCCTTCTAATTTGTTTTGCTCAGGAGAGCAGCGGGCAGCCTCAACAAGTTGCCGTGGAACCCACCACAGACCACGCCGCTTATTCGTACCAGTGAAAGAAAGTGTTGGTAAGAGAACAAGGTTGTTCATTTTTAAAGAGACACTGGCCTTTCATAAATTTCTGTATGTATTTAATGTACAGTCAGGTCCATAAATATTGGGACATCGACACAATTCTAACATTTTTGGCTTATACACCACCACAATGGATTTGAAATGAAACGAACAAGATGTGCTTTAACTGCAGACTGTCAGCTTTAATTTGGGGGTATTTACATCCAAATCAGGTGAACGGTGTAGGAAGTACAACAGTTTGCATATGTGCCTCTCACTTATTAAGGGACCAAAAGTAATGGGACAGAATATTAATCATAAATCAAACTTTCACTTTTTAATACTTGGTTGCAAATCCTTTGCAGTTAATTACAGCCTGAAGTCTGGAACGCATAGACATCACCAGACGCTGGGTTTCGTCCCTGGTGATGCTCTGCCAGGCCTCTACTGCAACTCTTCAGTTCCTGCTTGTTCTTGGGGCATTTTCCCTTCAGTTTTGTCTTCAGCAAGTGAAATGCATGCTCAATCGGATTCAGGTCAGGTGATTGACTTGGCCATTGCATAACATTCCACTTCTTTCCCTTAAAAAAAACTCTTTGGTTGCTTTTGCAGTATGCTTTGGGCCATTGTCCATCTGCACTGTGAAGCGGCGTCCAATGAGTTCTGAAGCTTTTGGCTGAATATGAGCAGATAATATTGCCCGAAACACTTCAGAATTCATCCTGCTGCTTTTGTCAGCAGTCACATCATCAATAAATACAAGAGAACCAGTTCCATTGGCAGCCATACATGCCCACACCATGACACTACCACCACCATGCTTCACTGGTGAGGTGGTATGCTTAGGATCATGAGCAGTTCCTTTCCTTCTCCATACTCTCTCTTTCCCATCACTCTGGTACAAGTTGATCTTGGTCTCATCTGTCCATAGGATGTTGTTCCAGAACTGTGAAGGCTTTTTTAGATGTCGTTTGGCAAACTCTAATCTGGCCTTCCTGCTTTTGAGGCTCACCAATGGTTTACATCTTGTGGTGAACCCTCTGTATTCACTCTGGTGAAGTCTTCTCTTGATTGTTGACTTTGACACACATACACCTACCTCCTGGAGAGTGTTCTTGATCTGGCCAACTGTTGTGAAGGGTGTTTTCTTCATCAGGGAAAGAATTCTTCGGTCATCCACCACAGTTGTTTTCCGTGGTCTTCCGGGTCTTTTGGTGTTGCTGAGCTCACCGGTGCGTTCCTTCTTTTTAAGAATGTTCCAAACAGTTGTTTTGGCCACGCCTAATGTTTTTGCTATCTCTCTGATGGGTTTGTTTTGTGTTTTCAGCCTAATGATGGCTTGCTTCACTGATAGTGACAGCTCTTTGGATCTCATCTTGAGAGTTGACAGCAACAGATTCCAAATGCAAATAGCACACTTGAAATGAACTCTGGACCTTTTATCTGCTCATTGTAATTGGGATAATGAGGGAATAACACACACCTGGCCATGGAACAGCTGAGAAGCCAATTGTCCCATTACTTTTGGTCCCTTAAGAAGTGGGAGGCACATATGGAAACTGTTGTAATTTCTACACCGTTCACCTGATTTGGATGTACATACCCTCAAGTTAAAGCTGACCGTCTGCAGTTAAAGCACATCTTGTTTGTTTCATTTCAAATCCATTGTGGTGGTGCATAGAGCCAAAAATGTTAGAATTGTGTCGATGTCCCAATATTTATGGACCTGACTGTATATAAGCTTGGATCAACCTTTTTACACCATTTGAGAAGTGACTAAATGGTGTTGTAAACTAAACCAGCATGAGCTGCAGGGTCACTCCCTGAAGTGTTGACACTTCCGGAAGTACTAGTGTCTCAGTAGACCTAAGGGGACAATTTCTCAGGATTGGAGCAGTGTTTGAAATCAGAAAAGGCAAGTATTTACCTTCTTTATCAACAGAAAATATGTCTTTTCCTGTTTGTTTTATGACTGATCACTTTAACCACTTGCCTGCTGGGCACTTATACCCCCTTCCTGCTCAGGGCCAATTTTCAGTTTTCAGCACTGTCGCACTTTAAATGACAATTGCGCGGTTATGCAACACTGTACCCATATGCAATTTATAAAAAAATTTTCACACAAATAGAGCTTTCTTTTGGTGGTATTTAATCGCCACTGGGGGTTTATTTTTTGTGCTATAAACAAAAAAAGCAAAAAGTTTTGAAAAAAAAAAAAAGTCTTTCTTTGTATCTATTTATTTATAAAATTTAGCAAACCGGTAATTTCTCTCCTTCACTGATGTGTGTTGACGAGGCTGCACATATAGGCAGCACTGATGGGCACGGATAGTTAGCACTGATGGGCACGGACAGGCAGCACTGATGGGCACGGACAGGCAACACTGATATGCGGCACTGATGATGCAACACTGGTGGGTTGGACAGGTAAGTGGCACTGCTGAGTGGCACAGGTGATGGGCACTGGTGGGTGGCACTGCTGGGGACTGATCATCAGTGCCCTGATAATCCGTGCCGATCCCTTCGCTGACAATTGCCAGTTCTCGGTTTTACTTTCCTCACGCTGTGATAACCTGCAACTGCATTTACCCGGTGATCGCTGTGTCATTGGACACAGCTGATCACGTGGTAAAAGGCTGCCCTGATTGGCCGATTACCATATCTTATAATCAGCTGTGGCTGGGGGCGCGTAGGGGGGCATGTCCTGGAATGACGTCCATGGTATTACACAACCGCGCTGTAGCCGTCCTTCGGCTGTAGCGTGGTTGGGAACCGGTTAAATAAAATACTACAAGTTAATGTGTATGTCAAGCTAAAGGTGGAAACCTGGTCAGGTTTTTATTGCTATCCAGTGGTTCTTTAGAGAACTTTTTTCCTCACTTCTTGTCCTGCTGTAAACATCTTGAAAAGAAAAAAAAAAAAAAGGAATGAGAGCAAATCTGCAACAGGGCCCCTGACAGGGGTTCTAGCCATCCCTTACACTGCTAAAAAAAGGCATATCAATTATTATCTGTGTTACTGTTGGAGATTTACCCTACCTTCCCATCTAGGAAGGACTTGTGTTGATGGGCTGTTGTCTGCTTCATGTAGATTTTACATTCCCATCAAAGTCCATGGAGATGATAAACCCATTTGAAGTGGGTCAAATGTTGGTCTGATGGAGATCAACTGCAGGTCAAATGCTGGTCTGAAGATCAACTGCGTGTCAAATGCTGGTCTAAAGGAGATCAACTATGGGTCAAATGCACTGGTCAATGAATCCTGCATGATCTCAGAAGTGTCTTAAAGTCATTCTAAAGTCTGAAGATTTTTTACCTTAATGTATTCTATGCATGAAGGTAAATACCTTCACTATGCAGCTTCCTGCAGCCCCCCCCCTAATTCTTACCTGTACCCTATCGCGATCCAGGGATGTGCACAAGAGGAGCTGCTCTCCCAGATCTCTGCCTCCTCATTGTCTGAGACAACAGTGGGAGTGGCTTCCGAGGCTGTCAATCATAGCCAGTGAGGAGGGGGCGGAGCCGAGCCCTGTTCTGTGTACCTTATGGACACTCAGAGCAGGGTTCAGAAGCAAGCACGCACAGGTGCCGCCAGAGAAAGTGAAGAGGAGGAGTCAGCAGGAGATCAGAGAAGAGGAGGATCTGCCCTACTGCACAGAACAGGTAAGTATAACATTGTTTTTCTTTTAATAAAAAAATCTACCTTTAATATCATTTAAAACTGATGCCATTGACATAAGCCCAAAGCCCATTGATACAGGCCCTAATGGAGCCCCAGATGTCAATTAAAAAATGACAGGGGTTCCACCCATTCCCTACTCTATTCAAAGCCAAGAAAAATGTTTTAGCTTTATAGATACTTTATGGCTTTTACAGGCTGGGCAGCAAGGCTGTTTAGACATAATAAGTATAATTCTTTGTAAGACCCTTCAAGCGGTAGTAAACCGGAAAAAAGAAAATACAAAAAAATGGTCCCCTGCAGGATAATGGCACAATGTGCTAGTATGCATTGATGTATGAAAGATGTATGTTAAAACGAAGCCCTCTGGCGGTGTGCTGTCACCTCTGTAGGCACTTCCATCTTCACCCGGTCTTCCTTATGGGTTTGTGGGCTTTGGCTTCTTGAATGGCCGAGCCGCGATGACGTGTCTCCCGCGCATGCACGCAGGAGTCACAGCCGTGGCACAGCACGCTGTGCATTGAGAGTGCAGTGCAAATACGCTGATGACATCACTGACTGCTACTTTTGTAAATATCTCCTAAATGGTGCACGTATAGGAGATATTTACTGTACCTACAGGTAAGCCTTATCATAGGCTTACCTGTAGGTACAAGTAAAAAAGGTGGGCTTTACTACCACTCTCGGGTAGAAACTGCCTGAAGTGTTTGGGCCCCCGTCTCTTTGGCCTCCACTGATCGGCTGCATACAATGTGCTGCGGGGCCCTGTATGCTGTGAAGAAAGGTGGTGCAGCTCCTGCCTTAGAAATTGATTTTACGGGATTTCTGAAGCAGCAACTGTGTCACCTTTTATCTGCCCTTGTAGTAGTCTTCTTTTTTTTTTAAATTCTATTTTTATTAAAGGCAAAACCTCTTTAATGAATACATTCAGAGGGAGGGAGGGGAAGTACGTTTGGAGGGGGGGATGGGGGAGCATATATATTGGAAAAGTTTGTGAACTGTTGATTGTCCAGAGTCCCAAGTAACTTACCTTCCTCAACTAGGCAGCTTGGATAAATTCAAGGGGGTTTGTACTTTTCCAGTATTCTATATCTGAGATTGTCACCTAATCTGCCCACCTTTTTGGGCGGTTAAAACTATGTGGCGTTAAAATAACAGTGCTTAGAATGCCAAAAAATTAAATATAATACATTTTTAATATCAAATGTGATGATATATATTTTCACAATTTGCAATTTTTATGGTTTTTTTATTATAATTTTTTTTTTTTTTTTTTTAATAATCTGATCGGTTAAATTCAGATTATTTGTTTCATATACCACCA